TTACAGACAGTCAACGGTAGTGATTAACATCTTTATTTCTCTCTTTTCCGTTATAAGAACTATTTTAGACCTTGTCTTACGTGTCTGTATGCGCGTGTGCATCTGTAGAGTTTTGTTGATCGTTTTATTGATAAATCAACCGGAAGAGAACAAAATGTTTAGTGAAACAAGCACGTTCAAAGAACTGTGATATATTAATATTAGCAAAAAGAAAACTCAACATATGAAAAGGTTGATTTAATAATAGTGCAGATAAAGAATTATTATTATTATTGACATAATTGTTATTAGCTTTATTTTAATGAAATATAGAAAAAAAAAAAAGAAACAAAAAATTATTTTTTCACTGAGCGAACACGTCGAGACGATGTACCTTGTCCAATGGGCATTCGTTGTGGAGCATTTTTATGTAAATCAAGATCTTTTACAATATTTTCTAATTCCAATTGAATTGTATGACTATGATCAATAGGTAATGGATTCGAACGTTGAGATGATGAACGATGACTTTGTACAGCTATTCGTCGACGATTTTGAAACCAAATACCTATAGAATAGAAAGTTATTTTATTAATGAATTTAATAATTATATAAGAAAACATACGAATTTGTTCACGTGTAGCTCCAATTCGATCAGCAATAACATTCTTTTGAACACTATTAGGATAAGGTACATATTCAAATATTTCATTAAGTAACCAACGCTGACGAAGTGTATATTGTAAACGATTTGGAAGATTAGTTGATGGACGAGATATTGGAGGTGATGGAGCATAAGTAATCTAAAAAATATAAGAAAATTTGTATAGATATTTTTTTTTATGTCAAGTTTTTCTTACTTGAGATGATGGTATAATTGGTGGTGATGGTGGTGCAAATTGATTATAAGGAATAGTTGGTTCTGTATAATAACAGCAAGATTGTTGTTGATCATAAACTGGAAACATAATCATGCGTGGTGACGATGAAGATATCGGTGATTCAAAATAGGATGAATTCGATGATGATGTATCATAACTATTACAATAAGAATATGGTGAATACGACCAATAAGCTGAAGCATTTCCATCAAATGACGATGACATATTTAATTGTTTTTCTTTTTAAATAAATGACTGATTATATTTTTTTCTCTTTGGAATTCATACATATTTATATATACTCATATCTTTTCTTTCTCTCCTTCACTTTCGTATACCAATCAAATTGACATCCGATGAGAAATGTGATTATTTAACGCGTTCGTATGTTGAACGAGAAACACTAATTGATAATTACTGTATTCATTTGTGTAAAACAATCAACACATACGTATTGAAGAGTCAAACTCTTTAACAGTATAGTCAAACTTTTTTGTTTAAATAACAACTATATTAATCAATAGTCGTCACACGGTAATACGAGTAAGAAATCCGATATTTATGAAATAGGAAAAACAGAAGACTTTCAATTGTCATGTTATTGAAAGAGATTCTTTCTTTGAATTTATAATTAAATGAATATGTATGTGTGTATATCCCATCAATGCTACATAACATCGGAATAAAAAGAGATGAGAACTTAAAATTCCTACTATCTTTATGCGTTTTATTTTGCAAAAAGAAAAACAAAATCTTGAAATATACCACAGTCTCGTGCTTCTTGAATAGTAACGTACACACTTACACTGATGATTAACAAGGAAAAACAAAACAAAACATAACAAATATCTGATTTGAAATCCACATTCATACTAGCTTTTTTTTTCTTCTTGATTATCATCATGTAGATCCTTGTTTTTTTTTATACATAAGTTGAAAGAAAAAACATCGAAAAGAAAAAAAGTGTGATATCAACAAAAAAACAAAGAAAAGAACTTAAACTTATTTTCTTCTTAACGATGTATAAAGCGTGAGTAGTTCTGATGAGAATTACACAGTTATCTGTAAGTTAGTATAAAAGAGAAAGAAACAAAAGACAATTAATTTACAAACAAACAAATCAACTGTTCACTCTGAAAATGTTTATTTTTTTTTCTGTATTTGATCGAAAGGTTTGGTATTGAAATCACAAAAACTTGATATAATATTTATATAGCAACATGTATTCTTAATCCCATTCTTCAACTGCAGCTGAACCAGCAGTAGCTGTTCCACCACTCACATTAGCTGCTTGATTTCGATTACCAAAACTATTTCCTCCCGATCGCATCTACAAAAGAAAAGATTTCATTAATTATAAAAATTATATGTTATTAATTTTACATCAGTATTTCGACCGCTATAACCACCACGACTAAAACCACTATTTGATTCAGAATATTGTTGAAGAAATTCTGGTACTTCTTGTCCAGCCTAAGAAAATAATTAAGTTAAAATTATTTAAAAAAGTTTTTTTCATACTTCAACTAATTTTAATATAAGTTCAGGAGCAATTCTACGATCAGAATCACGTTCTGGATCAAAAAATGATATTGATTTACCTAAATGACCAGCTCGACCTAAAACAAAAGTTATTTGTCAAATATTTTTTTTGTTTCTGAAATTAATTCAAACCTGTTCGACCAATTCGATGAATATAAAAATCACTTGAATCAGGTAAATCATAATTAACAACATAACCAATTAAAGGAAAATCTAAACCACGAGCAGCAACTGAAGTTGCAACAAGAATAGGACATTTTCCATTAGTAAACTGTTGTACAGCTTCAGTACGTTGTCTTTGTGTACGATCACCATGCATAGTTGTACTCATTAATTTCTTTTGTGAAAGCAATGCTCCTATATAATCAGCTTGTCGTTTTGTTTCAACAAATATTAAACAACGTTCATCTTCTGAAAATGTCAAAAAAATAAAATAAATATGTATTTTAATATAATTTTGTGTATTATATACTGAGATTTTGTTCAAGTAATTGAAGAAGACGATCTTTTTT